AATCTGTAGAGGAACAACTCCATCCATATTTATACACATATAGGCGAACAAATGTTTTGGCTAGTCCCCATGTGTCCTTGTTTAATATCAGCCAAAAATTCTCTTTCCTCGTCCCACGCGGAATGGCTACATCTCTCTGAACTGTGGGAGAGGAGGTGGCCTGTCATGAGCTGCAGTGCACCTTGCTGGAACTTGAGGTGGAAGATATCCCAAGCGCAAACACAAACAAGCCTTCTTTGTACTATGTTAAAACAGTGTACGCAGTAGATGAGAACGTGTGCTTGCGTACTGCTTGTTAGGAAGGTTAAGGGCACCCGATCCACGAATTCGTACTCTCAGTTTAACCTTTCAGAGAATAGGCGTCCATTGTTGGTGGCCTTTTCTTTCGCAGCAAGAGCTCAAACGGTGAACATACAGTAAAATCCCATGTGCACAACGTAGCTACACACTACACAGCAAAAAATCGTGAAAAAATATGGGCGGCAACTAAACTCCACTAGTTCCACAAAACTTCAAAAAGTAGATTGTAAGTCTTTTAGTTGCCGTGTATGTTCCACCGTTGAAGGAATGAGAGGGAGGGCGGAGAAGTCGATACCGGCATCGCAGCTTCAATTACACCCACCGAATCCCAGGCAATTGAGGTATACCTTCCTGAACAGTTGCACCATGCATTGCACCGCTTACACGGACACAGTTTATAATTTACTGTCGTTTTTTCGATTAATTTCAACGCGAGAATTTACATGAACATCACCGCCACCTAGCCAGACAGAGCCAGCTCTGTATACCGCTCTGCTTCTTTAGATATCGTCCAACTCTGTTTCTCAAGCCTGTTGCTCAGCTGCCCAACAGGAAGCGAATACATGATTATCCGCCATGCATTTATTTTCGCAGTAGATAATGGAGGTTCAGGGGAAAGACGCAGGTCGGATATGGTTAGATTTGTTGCGCCCTGAGCAAGGGGCACGTAAAGAAATCCACCCCGCCGGCCTACAGAACGCAGAAAACATCAACCAAACTGCTGAAGAAGATGGAATTTTCGCTTCACGAAAGTTTGTTGGGAAGCAGGTTGGGGGCCCTAAGCCATTGCTTGCCGTCTTTTCACTGGTACTCTTGTCTGCTGTTGTTTTGCGGGTGTCGAGCAAGCGGAAGATCCACCAGTTGAGCGCCTCCAGGTTAAGCTTCCACAATGAATGGGCTTCGCGTTCCCTTGACGATCACGCCATACGGAGGTACTTGAATAATTTCGACAAAGCGGCTGATGTGATGAACAAGGCCTGGAAGTTCTCATTACCGCCTGTGCGGGAAGCTTTTCAAAGGCATTTCATGCCGTCGCTCAGCGACGGTCAAGCGCCCACTGAAGATCCGTTGGCAACCATCAATGACCACGTGGCGAAGATGCGAGGATGTGAATTCCCGTTTGATTCTTCTGCGCAGGTGAGGAGTGATTTCTTGCAACACCTGCAGCTGCTGCTCAGCATTTGCGAGATGGTCACGCTTCGTATTGAGGAATTAAATTGGTTGTTCTCTATGAGGAGGCGCCTCGACGCTCGACTCAGTTTTCCTGTCAACGAAGAGCCCGATAGGAATTCGACCGTTGAAGGCGTCAGCTACAGAACCTGGCCTCAGATGAAAGCAGAAGACTTCTTGCGCGCCATGGGGATGGATGGCGGTGAACTGACACCTCCAGTAGATGGAAACGTAGCCAAACAACTCCTAGTTCAGTCTCTTACAGAGAACAAATATAATGTCTGCAACTTGGAGGCCCGATATTACTTCGAGCGTTTTCTGCAACACTCTGGCGAAGACGACGCCGTCAAGTCCACTTCCCCCACTGCCAAGTACCATATTCCATACGATGGAAAACCATTTAGAACTGGCGCTCTCGCACAAGCAGCTGCCCAAATATTTCGCGAATCTGAGGGCAGTACGAATTATGCAATGATACGCAAGTTGCATTGGATTGGGGACAATTGGACACCCAAAGCAGTACTAGAGGCAGGGAAACAGCAGGAGAAGGAAAATGCGTACAAGCTGGAACAGCTGTTGCGTATTAAACGGGAGCAAATGCGTGTGCTGCTTAAGAAGGGCATACAATACGGTGATTTGGAAATGAATGCATTATTCCTTCTATAGTATACCCTCTAGGGTTTTCTTGAGTGTTACGGCAGGTGATACCACTTTTGCTGTTTGGTAGTTGTCTGCGTCTGTGGAACACAGGCTACCGGCCATTGGTGTTGGAGCGAAAAGAAATGCCACCCATCTTGGCTTTGACTGGTTTTGTTACATGCGCTTAACAAAGGGCACGCATCTGGTTGGTACTGAGTCAGCTGTTGTTTGTTTTATGGCAGTTCAGGGTCCACAATAATGCAGAACGGGGATTTGCAGGAAACCGAATCCACTGTTGGTTTCACTTTGCTCATCCAGGCTAGTAGTGGTACGTGTTGTGCGGGTGTTTGTTTTTGGCGGTCCAGAGGAAGCACCTGAAGGCCCTGGAGCGAAATGGAATATTGGGCAGTTCCGAATTTTGAGTCATTTGATGGCTCATTTAGACTGCAATTAGAAGGTACAGGCACATAGAGTTACTGAGTTCTTCATCTGCAGCTCCAGTCTCACGACTGGTAGGACCATAGGGAGCATCACCCAGGTAACGCGATGCAGCAGAAACGGCGAATCAGAGCAACGGTTAGAGGGCAAACAAATGCATATTGGCCCCAAACCCTCCAAAATATTATTCTTATGAATAAAAGAGACATCGGAATTATTTCCATTCAAGAGGTTAACGGCAACAGACACTGGTCTCTGCACGATCCGCTCCCTTCGTTGTGCGCAATTTCCACAGTAGATATTGTACCCTGAAGCGCTGGAGCGCCTATGAGAGTTCCTTTTACTTTTGCACTTGGTTTTTTAACTCTGGTACTTGCTTTGCCAGTTCGTCTTAACCCAAAATCGTTCGAACATCACCTCCACCGTGAAAATCCCTAGCTGGCCCCGCCCCGCTGGACGCCTGGTGATAATCTAGCTGCTTGACCGTTTCGATCGCCAACAGGGAGAAAACTATTCGTTTTGCAACCATTTGTTTACTCTTAATACTAGATAATGGGGAATCAGCAACACGACGTGGGTCCCTCATTATTGGAGGGCGCGCAACCACCACAGGGGAGAGTTGGAGCAGCTGAGCCCGGTCCAGACAACGGAGACGGAGAGGGAGCACCATGGGGACGCGATGTTTTTGTTTCCCGAAAATCCAACGGAAAGAATATTGGAACTGCTACGGCATTGCTCGTTACTTTCCTCGTGCTGCTCATGTTCCGGGCTCGTCACAGCCTGCCCAGTAGGCTGACGTCTTTCCTAGAAACTCCGAAGTTACTTATGGAAAAAATAAACTTGCACAAGTACATGGATGATTTCAACGAAGCAGCGGACGCTATGAACAAGGCTTGGGAAGCATCAGAACCATCTGTGCGGGAAGCTTTTCAAACACTTTTCACCCCGTCACTCGAGGACGGTCAACCACTCACAGAAGACCCGTTGGCAATTATCAATAACCATGTGGCCAAGATGCGAGAATTTGGAGTTCTATCTGAGTCTTCTGTGAAGCAGAGGAGGGACTCTGCACAGCACCTGCAGCTGCTGCGGAGTATTTGCCGTACAGTTACACTTCGTCTCGAAGAATTGAAGTGGTTCGTCTACATGAATAAGGAGTATGATGTGCCAGTTCCTGTTCCTGGCCACGACGAGCCTTATACTTACCCCCCGCTTGAAGTGCTCGAGGAAAGGGTAGATGACGGCTTGCAGGCGTCTCACTTCTTGAAATCTGTGGGATTATCTGGCGGTGAAGGCACGCAGAAAGTAGATGAAATGTTAGCTGACAAGCTAATATATCTGTTGTCTGTTGAGAACAAACATAACGACTGCAACTTGGTGGCTCGATACTACTTCGAGCACTTTCTTCAACCCTTTGGAGAAGATGACGCATTCAAAGGCATTCCTCCCGCCGGCACGCATCAAATTCCATACAGTGGAGAAGCATTTAGAACTGGATCTTTTGCACGAGCAGCTGCCCAAATATTTGGTGAATCTGAAGGCAGTACGCATTATGCACGGATACGGAAGATGCACCGGATTGCGGATAACTGGACACCCAAAGGAGTACTGGAGGCAACGAAGCAGCAGGAGAAGGAAAATGCCTACAGTTTTGGAAGTAGGTTGAGCCGCAAACGCGATCAACTGCAAGCTCTGCTCCAGGAAGGAATATCATATGATGATTTACTTATTCGTGCATTATTTCTTCTTTAGACTGTCCGGTATTCATTTCATGAGTTCCATGACAGGTGATTTCACTTTTACTGTTTGTCAGTGATCTGCTTAGGTTGTGTACGAGAGCGTGACTACTGCAATTGCTGCAGCAAACTTGACGCCATTGTTGGATTAACTTTTCCTTGTATGTCCGAGCGAGACGGGCATGCACCCAAGAGTTACATAGGCAGGGTTTGTCTTGTTTGCCTTAAGGCAGTTAAAAGTACCCATAATGAAAAATTTTATTTCTCAGGAAACTGAATCAACTACTGGTTGTACTTTGTGGTACGTGTTGTACCGGGTTTTGTTTCTGGTGGTCCAGCTGCGGTGACTGCAAGTGGAATCGAAGTAGAATGTCAGGCACTTCAGGGCACTTCAGCGGTTTGAGCCCCTTGCTAACTCATTAAGACGGCAATTAGAAGGTATAGGCACCCAGAGCCCTTGGGTAATTCATCTGGTGCTCCAGGTTGGGGTGGGGACAAGCTGGAACATGTGCAACTGTAGGGCAAAAGCTCACCGCAGCAGCTGGTGAGGGTCATAGGAATGCCACCGGTTCCCAAACCCTCCAAAAAATAAATCGTAGGTACTACAGCCTAATAAAAACTTTTCCACTTGAGGGGTTGCCGGCAACTCAGACTGTCGAAGCCCGATCCGCTGTCTCCGCTGTGCACGAACGCCATAAACACTACATAACACTAAGTATACTACCCTGCACTATCGCAGCATGTGTGCAATACATACATGCTAATTCCGTTTTGGTAATTTAGTTGATCAATTTATTTATTATTTCAACCCAAATTTGATCTGAAACTACTCCCACCCTGCCACGCAGTGTGGCCAGCCTGCCACCCAGAGCCGTCTCGGTCTCGCTGCACATCGAGAGCCCACTCGTCTCGGTTTCTTGTTTTGCATACCCGCATCAGGGGGCCCGCATACCGGTTGTTTGCCATCCGTCAATTTACTCTTTTTTTTGTTTTAGAAAATGGGGAGCCAGTGGCACGAAGTAGGTCCTGTGCTGTTGCAGGAGACAAAACCCCTACTGGGGGGAGATAGGGCAGCACAGCTTGGCCCGGACAACGGAAGAAACAACAAGGGATTTGCTAGAAGACGCGGAGTTTTCGGTTCCCGGAAGTCCAGTGAGAAACAAGTTGGAACCATTAGGGTGTTACTCGTTGCTATCCTCGTGCTGCTCCTGTTTGAGTCTCGTCACAGCTTGTCCAGCATGTTGCGATCTTACCTAAGAACACCACATCTATTATTGGAAGACATGAGCATGCAGAAGTACATGGATGATTTCAACGAAGCAGCGGACGCTATGAACAAGGCTTGGGAAGCATCAGAACCGTCTGTGCGGGAAGCTTTTCAAATACTCTTCACCCCGTCACTCGAGGACGGTCAACCACTCACAGAAGACCCGTTGGCGATTATCAATAACCAT